TTTAAATCCATGTACTTCATTTATTTCTTGATTTGGTCAATCCAATTGTTAAAATTTGTTGTGAGAACATGTAAGAACCGAGTTGGTATTGTCTCAGTCAACAATTGGAAAGAATCACATGAGGTTGTATGTATAAGAATGTAGTTCATATGATTGAGTGCAAATAAATTGAGAAATATTCATTGAAGGGTGTAGAGTTAGAGGACTTTTGACAGGTTAAAGCCCCCAACTTGGTTTATTATTTTAGATTCTGATACAAGATGTTAGCTCCCCTATGGTGAGCGCTAGTATCTTCCCTGCCTAGCCGGTCTTTAAAACTAGTCAAACTTTAAATTAGCAAATGTTCTTTATAGCATCTCTATTAAGGGTAAAGAATATTATTGCTCATATCTGGCACAACACAATTTGCATACTTTCACAACAGAATTCTTATACTTATTACTGATTCATGATAAGAAGAAAGATATTTTTCTTATTAAGTGTTTTTCATCTACAAAACTCTAGTTATCTTTTTTAAGTTGTTACTGTTTTGTCAAAATATCAAAATTACCAAACAATATTTGAATTTTTACTACTGGCATATTATCTATAGTTTAAAGTTTAAGTAATTGTCAAAATAGAAAGTTTTCTAAAAGTGCATATTGTATAAATTCCCTGTGGGTTCGATATTCAGGTCATAATCAAAAAGTCCTATATTACTTGATTCAAATGAAGGGTTTTTGGTTTTATGTGGAGAGAGCCCATATCTAATTGATCTATCGCCCCCGGTCTTTCTCTTTTCCATTTTTCTCCCATACATAAGATAAAAAAGAATTATAAAATTATATTTCATACAGTAATTCACTTATCCAAAGTGTATTGGTGAAAATATCGTAACATGGATGTCAAGTGATGCTTTAAATAATGATGGGTGCATGTCTTTGTTTGTAGTGATGATCTCCTCTAGTAGCTAGTTCATCCCAGGCTAGATCAAACACTTAGGTTGGTGGGCTCAATTTGAGCACTTTGAATTGTGGGCTCAACACACTACTCTGGCTAGTGGGCTCAATTTGACCACTCTAGTAGGTTGGATTAGTTCGACCACTTAGGTTAGTGGACTCAGCTTGAGAATGACATAATTGTTGGATATGAGCCTTCGAAACCCTTGAGGACTATTGAGTCTTATGTCATGCCCACAAAAAAAAAATTTATTTAAATATATGGTCGTATTTTGGTATACCCATAAGCTAAAATATATGGACACATTTTGGCATACAACCGTAAACCTATTTTAGTTATTTTTTGCAAGACATTTACAAACCTACCATAAAATTCTTATGTATTTACATTTCTTATGCCATTTCTTATTTACATACAAAACACTAACTTTAATATCACATAAAAAATATCATTATTATTATTTTTTTTATTTTTTTAAAAAAGAAATGTATCTTTTCAAGCACAAATTTATAACACTAAAGCATTATAAATGTAAAAAACAAACTTTTTATATATATATATATATATATATATATCTGTGCAGTTGAAGACCGTTGTAGCCAGAGTCTGAAGTTAAATATTTTAATATTTCTTCTTGTTGTTGTACTTGTTTTTGTACTTTTTTTAGTTGTACTGGTACTCGTTAAGATGTGAGAACTGTATGTTTTCTTTTATAACTAGTCTATCATTATCGTATGTTTTTGCAATTAATGTTTCTTTTCTATGCATAAGCTATTCTAAATAAGCTGCCCCAAACAGTTTTATCACATAGGGGCAGTTATGTCATTCAACCACCAATAAGCTAGCTTCAATAAGCTGGCCCAAACAGCAAGCCAGATTATTCTGATAATCTACAGATTATCAGATTATCACAATAATCTGCTTATCAGCAGATTATAAATAATCCACAGCTGCGCCAAACAGACCCTAAGTGGTATGTGTTCAAATGACCATATATTATATATTTATTGATGTTAGTAAAATTTTTGCTTTATTATATTTTCTATTTGTGTATAATGTTTTTAACAATCATAAAATATAATCATTCTTCTGAATAGACCGGCACACTTTTTGAGGAAGCACAATGTTTTATTCTATTTTTATTATAAAAATGCTTCTATTTTATTTCTAAGAATATTTCGCTATACGAATTGATCGAAGGATTTAAATGCGCATGCTTATGTTTATACAGTGTACGATCAAAAATTGTTGGGACGAAAAAAATATTTCGTCCGGACGGCAACCATCAGACATGTATGGCGATGTAGTCGGTGATTCGGAGAGGGCCTGTGATGTCCGAACATATTATTTCTAGTTGGTACGAAATCACGGGAACGTGAACCTACCTAAATGGGCTGCCTTCTTCTTGATATTAGCATGTTGATGGATCCGGCCCTAGGCATGAAAGAAAGAAATGAACCAGCCCAACCTCGCCGAATTAGATATACGTCGGTTGACCCATAAATTGGGGAATGGGTGCCGGTGGAGTAAAATGACTTGGCTAGGCTCGAGGAAATTTTTAGGAAAGTCCTCGACTTAAATGATGATATGATTAGACAAATAACCATAAATTCTTATATTTACATAACACTAAAATCATTACAACAATATCAAAATTATTGTGGGGCATTTACATACATAAGAAGCCTACAAAAGCCGCAATTTTTCTGTTTTTATGTATTTACATATATTACACCTAGATTTTTATGTTTACACAGATATAGGGTTGTTCAAAAAGCTTGTTGTTCGCAAGCAACTCTTGATCGACTCTTTAAGCAGTTCGTGTTTGATTCATTCGTTAATCAAGTGAGCTGAGCATAAATATTTTTTTGAGCTCGATTTATAAATAAATTGAATATGAATAAATATTTGTATGTTCGTGTTCAACTCATTTTGGTTCAAAATAATTAAATAATAATATTTATTTATATTTTTCTATTCAAATATTTAATACTATTTTTAAAAGAAAAGGGTATAAGAGATTTGGGTGGTATAAAAACAAAAAGAAAAATTTTGGTTTTAGATATGTAAATAGTTGGGAATGGGCTTGCATGTATTTAAATGCCTAAAAGAAAGAAAAAAGCAAGTCTAAGCCCAATCTTACTTGACGGTCCCTCTATTCTTTTATATTTTTTTAATTGTTATATATGTAAATACGTAGGAATTGACTGGTAGATACGTAAATACACAAAAAAAAACAAAAAATAAATTTATGGTTAAATTTTCTTTTATTATTTAGTCCTACATATGGGGGAGAGGTTTTCATACCACCTTAGTTAGGGTCTATTTGGGACAGCTTATTGGTGCGGGCGGCGTTTTAAAAACGCCGCCTCACCGTTTGTTTTGTTCGTTCGGAAAGCTTATCACAAAACAGAGTTTTGGGTTCCTTAATATACGGGGACACAGGATCGGCCCCGCATCCCGTGTCTTCGTTTCACGTTAGGGTGAAATTTTCTTGTGTGCCCTCTATTCTCCGCCTCCCCTTCGCTTCGACTGTGGAGGTCGCAGTCGTGCTCCCTTCTCCTTCATTTCAGGCAGGAGTGAGGAAGTAGTGATCGTAACGAGGTGATGACCGGGCTTCTAACGTGGGCTGTCGACGTCGTCGATGAGAGCAAGATGGAGAACGGGGAAGAAGACGATGAGATCCATTTACCTTTATTGATTTTTACACCATAGCAGCGTGTGCTAGAACTACAACACATTTCTCAAAGGGTTCCCCATCTCCATGCCCACACCATGGCCTCAAGCGCTGCCCTAGCTTCGCAACTTAATGCTCACTCCACCACCCACAAACAGGTGCGATCCAACTCCACCATTCTGTGATAGCGATCTATACCACTGTTTATGTTCCTTATCATAAATGGTTGAACTCGACATTGTTCTCATTAATTGTCCTGAAATTTGTTAAACTATTTTTATTAGAAATAATTCTAGTAAAAATGGCTCTACAGTTAGCCTAGGGGTTGGGTTGATGGGCACTGACTGCTTAGATGATAAAAAAAATGATCATAGAGGTGAGGTATTTACTAGTTAAAGTTAGGACATTTGGTCAATCTTTAATGCATTTATTTGGTTTAGAAACATGAGCAAAATAATCATTTATGTAGAATCAGTTGTTTTCCAAACACACAAACTAAACAGTCAGTCAGCTTCTCAGGATCAGTTGGAGATACGTAGTTTATCAGGATAAACTATTTATCAACATAAAATGAATAATGTTTCCTTACAACCTCAGACTTGCATAAACATAGGGAAATCTCTCTTTTGAGCACTATAGTTGTGTGGGTTGCCTCGTGAGTTCTAGTTGTTGAGCTCCAACTTGAGCTAACAACAGCTTAATTTGAACATTTGAGCTTGAACTGAGCCAAACACAAACATGAATTTCACGAGTCATTTTAAACACAAGTTAAAAAAAAAAAAAACAAAAACAAAACATGCCTAACAAAAACAAGTTTTGGGCCCGCTAATACTTTGCTAGTTCACCCCTTCACATATACTACAAAAATATTTAATATCATATTAAAAATTACATTATTATTATTTTTAAAAAGAGAAATATACTTTTTTATGTATAAATTTAAAGTACAAAAATTGTAAAAAAAAAATTTAGAGTGAGACATATGAATACATAAGAATTTTATGCTACTTGCTAAACTTCCCAATTTATTATTAAAAATAAAATATATTAAATAATATATACATAAATATATATATATATA